ATAGACTGACCTCTCACCTGTGGACACATCACTCAGCAGAACCAGAGAGATCAGCACAGGAAATGGATTGTCCCTTCAGGGAAGCAATTGCTGACACCAGTGATGCAGAGCTCAATAACCACCATGCTGGTGCAGTCCTACTCTGACTAATCACGGGCCATTCTACCCTCCACTGATCACCATCTTTCAACTTACCATTAATATAAGGAGGAATTCTTCCACTGGCCACTAATGTAAGAGATTATTTCTTCCACTAACCACAAAAAGAACAATTGAGTACTGTCCATGATATTTTTTTTATTTGCACTAACATCCAAATTTTCAGGACAAACTTTAAGGATGTGTCTCTTTCAAGGTCCAAGCAGTACTACCTTGGACCATGAAGAAGGAGAAAGAGATTGTCCTGAAAATTTGGATGTTAGTCAAATAAAAATAGTATCACGGACAGTACTCAATCTTTCTTTTTGCAAGTGCAATAATACGACTGTGATTACCTCTTCCACTAACCAACAATGTAAGAAGGCATTCTTTCCACCAATGGGGGCATTCTTTCCACTGGCCACCAATACAGGGGGAGATTCTTCCTACTCACCACCAATGTAAGGGGGCATATTTCTGCCCAATGGCAACAAGGAAATAAAGGCTGCTATTATACCACCCCTCCTCTAACGAACGGCAATGTAAGATGGCACTTTACTACTGACCACTAATATAGGAGGCACTTCTCCAGTAGCCACCAATGACAGGGGGCTTTGCTCCACTGACTTTCAATGTAAAGTTGCACTCCACCCATGAATACCAATATAAGAGACACTTCTCCATTTATCACCATTGTAAGGGGGCACTTCACTTATGACCACTGACCACCAATTTAACATACAGTACATATACACTGACTTCTAATATAAAGAGGCATTTGTAGTGACCATCACAGACTATCACAATTTTGCTGGTCATGTCCTTTCCATTGACCACCAAAGTTCACGGGGCTCTTATTAGGGAGCTGAGTGCATGCTGAATATACCTGTGTCACATTTCATGTAGTCTTTATTTGCACATAGTTTCTCACTCAGGATTCTTCTTAGCAGAGAAGGGACCAGGAGGACTGGGCGCAGGACTGTGATCTTATAATGAGTGACCAGTGTGTATGGCATCAATGTCAAGCATCCTCTGCTTGTAGGGTAGGTGGCAGGATCTACAAAAGAGTATAAAATAAGCAATACTTAATATTAATACTTAAATTCTTCTATAAAAGTACAGTATTTAAGGACAGCAAAACTGAAAAAATATTGCACATCATTAACACAAAAAAGATGTATTTGTACCAAAGGTACACTTTTGTACAGTTACCAGAATGGCATATTTAACCCCTTCAAGCCTAAGGGTAAAACAAATTTTAAAACCTAAGTAAAATTTTACAACTTTGGCATGTGTTAGTAAAACCGTACATATCATCACACTACTTTGTACATCCAAATGAATTATACCTTATTTTTTCAGGACACATTGGGCTTTCATTTGGTGGTAAAATGGTAATGTATATCCCCTGACTTTTTTTTTTATTATCCAAGGAAAACTGGCCCAAAATAGGACATTTTTTTTAAAAAATTTGGCTGTGTTTTCCTTGTTACTACCATAACCTACCGTCAAAAAACAACTCAAAATACATTTTCCAGCTCTTGATGATCACAGCAATATCATATATGTGTATGTTATTAGTGCCTATAGTACAACCCAGAAACAATAGTGCGCGTTTTGTTTCTTGTTTTTGTACCTAAAACACACTGACACTGACATTAACTGACACGGATACCAATTTAAAGAAAAAAAAAAACCTGACCTTTGACTCTGCCATTTGACCTTTGACCCTGCCCTTGACCCAAACACTAACCCTGGCACTGAACTAGATCAAATCTTGATCTAGGTATTTTTGCTTTATTTTTTAATATTTATTTATTTATCTTTTTTCTTTTCTTTTTTTTTCACAAACCATTTTTTTCTCTGTCTCTGCAAGGAGACAGATATACAATGTATCTCTCTACTCCATTTAGAAAGAAAAAAACATGGGGGGCGGACATCACAGTGACTGATCACTGTGATAGCCAATCAGAGGCTATCACAGCGATCATGGACCCGGAATCGGGAGTCCCGGGTCCCGATCGTTATAATGGGACCCGGGGCTCTCAGTGACACCCCGGTCTTTGTGCTATGAGCTGTAATTGTTACATTTAGGAAGGACATTTTGAGCCTACAGTATGCCCATTCCACCCATCCAGTGTCCCTCTGTTACCTCACTCCCAGTTACAGAATAGGGTCCCGTCGTGCATGTAGCATGGACCTCATGCATGCACCTTGTTCCTCTTACTCCTGTAGCTGGTGGTTAGACAGAGGGCCTCCGTGACGCTGATCTGCTCCCGTTGCTATGGACCACTGACAAGACAGCCCAAAGCAGCAAAGCCCTAACTACCGGATGATATCTCGCCTAGCACAGGTACCATGCTTCACAGAAAGCTAATGGTATTGGTTACCAGCCTCTTGTTATCCTTACTTTCACCGTTACCTTGTAAAAACGCATAGGCGTTTTTATATAAACATAAGGGTGTAGCGCTGTTCCTAGATAGTAAAATAATGTGGCCATGCCATGTGGATATAGGATTATAACTTTTGTTTTTTAATGGTTGAACTGGATGGACTTTTATCTTTTTTCAGCCAGACTAACTATGTAACTATTAACTGTAACCGGAAGTCACTTCCAGTTCATGGCTGTGGAACGCATGGTGTTCTTTTTCAAAGGCACTTTCATATTTACAACACTGTAAGTGTGTTTTTGGCAATTTTCTTTTTTTAATAAAAAGGTTTTACACTATAGAAGCTTCCCTTTCTCTTTGGCATATCCCTTACGGTCTGGCATAAATACAAAGCTCTGGTATATACCTTCACAGTCTGGCACATAGAAGATCAGCAAGTCTGACATTGAAGGGGCTATCCAGCGCAAATGCAGCAGAGTGGAGAGTTATCTAAAGCACATTAGACCCACTGGAAACAGGTCTAACCTTGAGGTGAGTGCTGTGGAAAAGGGGGAGCACGTGTGGAAGCACAAGTCCTGTTTATTACTTACAGCACACAGAAGTATAAAAAATGTGTTTTATAAACTATAATTTGCATATGGTTTTGGAATTGATATATGCTCTTACTATTTAGTTGCACAATAGCATTATATTGCACATTGTATATTGGATATTTGTATTTCTGTGTTACATCTCAATTGTTGGGGGAGGTGTACACTATTTGAACATGTTTTAGTTGCACCATAGTTATTTATTGTATATTGTACATTGCACATAGTATATCTGCATTTCATGCAAGGTATTCTATTTAGGGGAGATGTACTATAGCACCTTATTCTAAAAGTCATTTACTACTTCATATCTTTTTTGTAAAAGTAGGGAGGCGGTTTCTAATCTTGTCGACTCACATTGTGGGATAAGCTAATGAGGCCTTTGTTGTATTTGATGTTTTACGCCCAACCTACCTGGTCGACTCTTAATACGAGTGGGTGCTCTGTAGGACGATAGGATTCCTGAGGAGTATCTTCTTACACATCTCTTTCTTTTCCATTTATTCCTCATTGTGATAAGTTTTAGGAAGGGGGAAGGTGTCCTGTAGTATGGAAGGGTTTTTTGGCGTTTCAGGGATTTATATCCATTATATTGAACATTGTAGGTTCATATGCACTCCCAGCGAGGGTTCCATATTATTTTACTATCTAGGAACAGCGCTACACCCCTATGTTTATATATATTTCACACATTCTAGTTAGAGTGTGTGAAAGGTGTTAACAGCAGTCCTCACTGTTGCGCAGTACCATGGGGGGCACCATGCATATGCGTTTTTGCCATGTTTTTACTGTTTTTCCGGTGCATTTTGCACCTGTGAAAAAAGAACACATGACTCAAAAATACAACAGCGGGTAGGTTTTTGATGCAAGTTCCATTCATTTCAATTTCCTTTTTTTTTTTTATTACCGCAACAAGCATGCAACAAGCATGACTTTACAAAACACAGCTGACCCGAAACTAATCAGTGTGAAGAGTTCCATAGGATTTCATGGTCATTTTTAATTGCAAAAGCGGAAGAAAATCAGATCAGTGTGAAAGTAGTCTAACAGCAACTTCCGTCTCTTCCGAACCATGTTGACTCTTGAAGAGACTGACTTCATACCCCAAGTCCCAGCAGCCCTTTTACCTGGTGGTGGTATGCAGTTCCCCCAGATAAGTTCAGTGGAAGAAACCCGGAGAGACTCCCTGGTGGTTGTTGGGATCTGAACCCTTGTCCCTTTTACATTCACCCAGGATGGAAGGGTCAGACCCAGAAAAGCCTGTGACCTTAGCCTGGGGAAGGCAGTAAAAATATTAACCCCTTCCCCCAGCTGGAGCAGCCATGACTAACTTCAGTAGGCAACTTGCCTACATACTCAGTTTATGCAGAGTGGATATGGACAGAACCTGCTCTGCTCTATGGGCAGTCAGTTGTAAATTAACTCCGCTGTCCACTTACCCCTGACTGCCCTCTGATCTGATCCACCTAGATGGAGGAGGACAGATCCCCTTCGTTTTTTTTTTTTCACGGACTGGACTGGATTGAAGGTACGTGGATGTAAACAGAAACAAGGCCGTTTACAACCACTGGTCCCTTGGGGTGAATGGAAAGTCAGATCAGGTTTGCCTGAAAAACTGACCGTTGGACCTAATCAGACCCTTTGTGTGATAGGGGCCTAAAAACCTTCTTTACAATAATTCAAGCTTTTGTGCAAGTCTGTTTGGTTCATCATTAATTTGGACTGGTGTAATCAATACATTTTGACATATTAATTCTACACTATATTGCCAAAAGTATTGGGACACCCCTCCGATGTTCGAATCGAGGTGAGGTCATGGCCACAGGTGTATAAAATCAAGCACCTAGGCATGCAGAATGCTTCTACAAACATTTGTGACAGAAGGGGTCGCTCTCCGGAGCTCAGTGAATTCAAGCATGGTACCATGATATGCCACCTCTGTAACAATTCCATCCATGAAATTTCCTTGCTACAAAATATTCCACGGTCAACTGTTAGTGGTATTATAACAAAGTGGAAGCAACTGGGAACATCAGCAACTACCAAGAAGTAGTATGTCAGGTAAAATGACAGAGCGGGGTCAGTGCATGCTGAAGCCACAGTGTGCAGAGGTCGCCAACCATCTGCAGACTCAGTAGCTAAAGACCTCCAAACTTTGTGTGGCCTTCAGATTAGCACAACAGTGCATAAAGAGCCTCATGGAATGGGTTTCCATGGCCGAACAGCTGCATCCAAGTCTTACATCACCAAGTGCAATGCAAAGCGTCGGATGCAGTGGTGTAAAGCACACCGCCACTGTACTCTAGAGCAGCGGAGACGTGTTCTCTGGAGTGTTTTTTTAGGGGGTTGGGTGTGGCCCCTTAGTTCTAGTGAAGGGAACTCTTAAGATGTCAGCATACTGTCAAGGTCCTACCTTTTCCCTGAGGTTATGTTACTCCATGTGCTGGCGTCCATCTTGGATTCTGCTGTGCATGATGGGAATCCTTTTTATGCCTTCAGGTCTCTGAGGTCCACCCCCCAGAGGGGCGTGGCTGATGACATATAAGCCTGTGGCCCGCACATGCTCTTTGCACTTGTGTCTTGTGTCTTGGTGTTACTATTACTCTGTTCTGACTCTCGTGACTCTCCTGGTATTCTGATTCGGCTTGTGACTTGACTATTCTTTGTATTCTCCTTTGATCTGACCCTCTGTTGCTGAACCCGGCTTGTGACCTGTGATTCTCGTCTGCTGTCCTGTACTGTTTTGTCCTGTTGTTGTTGACCCCGGCTTGTCTGACTACTCTTTTGTTTCTTCCACCAGCTACACGCCATTGGCGGCGGCCATTACCGCAGTTGAGGTGTTTTGGGGGCCGCGACCTGGTTCCTGGCTGCGTCAAGTTCATCCCCACCATCAGGGGCCCTGGTGAAGGGCAGCCTGGGACTTAGACTCCGCGCCCTGAGGGACTTCGGTCTGTGGGTGGTGGTTGTCGTCAGCCAGTGCGTTACATTGTTAGGCCTGCCTGTCCGTTCCTCGGCTCCTGCCCTGACACATACCAAGACATTTTGAACAATTTCATACTCCCACCTTTGTGGGAACAGTTTGGGGATGGCCCCTTCCTGTTCCAACATGACTGCGCACCAGTGCACAAAGCAAAGTCCATAAAGAGATTGATAGAGTTTGGGGTGGAGGAACTTGACTGACCCCCCTGCACCTCAACCCATTATAACACCTTTGGGATGAATTAGAGTGGAGACTGCGAGCCAGGCCTTCTCGTCCAACATTAATGCCTGACCTCACAAAAGCGTTTCTGGAAGAAGGGTCAAACATTCCCATAGACACACTCCTAAACCTTGTGGACAGCCTTCCCAGAAGAGTTGAAGCTATTATAGCTGCAAAGGGCGGGGCAACTCAATATTGAACCCTACGGACTAAGACTGGGATGCTATTAAGTTCGTGTGCATGTAAAGGCAGGTGTCCCAATACTTTTGGCAGTATGGTGTATGTCTCTCTTTTATTTAATGCATTCCTGTGTGTTGTATATTGTAGTTTCTATTTTTTTTGGTCTGCTAATTTACTAGGATGTTTTCCATATCTCATTAATTTCAGTGGTGTTGAAAACCACTTGGCTTGATTTGCCAAAGAAAATTAAAGTGATTACAGACCTGGCATTCATCCTGATGTTGATCAAAGGATTTCTGAACTGTATTTATTGACAGTGCAATGCTGTACAGTTTAACTGAATTATAGAGCTTTATATAATTTAAAGGTCCAATTCCTTCCACAAGTGACATTAGTTACAGATGTATAAATTGGACTGATCCATGTAAATATAACAATGTTAGCTGCTTATAGTTGAACTTATTGCTAACCAAGAAATATTGCACCATTGTACGTTCCAACTCTCGTTACATTTTCCATAATATAAAATAAATAAAATAGTGAATACACTTTCAGTGCCTACTCTTTATTAACTGAAAGGAAATAGGTAAGGGTATCCATTTTTTTTTTTCTAAACAGGAATTACAGACATGAGGACCTTCAGCCTGGAAGCAGTGTGTTTACATCCTCTCTTCCTGCAGCAGCTGCTTCTAGCCACCACTAGAGGGAACTAAGAAAGGGATACATCATTTTAAATTCAGTCTTCAGCTACCCATGTTGGCCAGAAGCAGCAGCTGCAGGAAAGTAGTGCAGCTTCAAGGTTGGAGGTCAAATGTCTGAACCTTATCAACAAAACAGATATTCCTGCAACTGATTTTTTTTGTAAGCGGGCTGTACTGATAAATATGAATAAAGGAGGGTTGAAAGTACATTCATCCTTTAAAAATCAAGCAGGGGAGCGGGAGTCCCTCAAAATTCAAAAGGTGCAGTGAAAACCCAGGAACTCAAGGGAGGAAATTCCAGCAAAAAGAGATTTAAGAACCAGCCAACATAATTGCCAGCATCTACCAAAAACTGATATAAGTTCTGGGTGGAAGGACCCTTTAATCACATATACAACAAAAGGGGCAAAAATATGAGATATTGCAATATTTACCTTCACAACAGCAAATGCCACAGTCCTGAGACATCCACAGCAAATGGGAGCTACACCGATCTGTGCTGACTATACGAACTTCTGTTCTTGGCTGTTAAAGAAGAGATGGAAATGTAAAGTGGCAGCCGTGGAGTCGATATGGCAGGTATAATCTTTGTCTCATGTCCTTTTGTATAAAGACTTGGTTATTGATCAAATATGCAACAGTTAAAAGTGTTTCATGTATATGACTGTGTTCAGTAATCTGCATGAAGCTCAACACACAACTTTCTACTTCCTTTAACAGACAAGCTGTCCAGCAAAAATGTTAGAGAAATGAGATAAAGCTTTTACCACTAACAGAGGTTCTTACGATGATCTGCTTTTATTTATGTAAAACCTCTATCCCAAAAGAAACAAAACTGTTTGTGAACTGCTTAAAAAGTGTCACTTGGAGTTAGGTTTAAATTTGTTAGTCAAGTCCATCTAAATCTACTAGTACATCTAACACAGGGGTGTACAACCTGTGGCATGTGGACCACATGTGGCCCTCGGAGCCCTCTGATGTGGCCTTCGACCTCAAACCAGGGAAGCACACTTCTATTATATCCTGTGGGTTTGTTGCGCTTTAAAAAAGTGCACCACACCCGTAAGATATAATAGAATTCTTTGACCAAGCGCAGCTAACCCGCAGGTGCACTGCGCTGCACCCACGGTGCAAGTAAACTGCAGCGCATCATTGTGAAAGCAGCCATATAGGGGCTTACGATAGTAAGGGCTCATTTACATTTGCGGTTTGGGGGGCAGTAAAACCCCATAGTTGAGACATGTTTTTACCACATCCCCCCAACCACTGAAATAGCATCAGAGGTCATGATAGTGACCCTACCCCATGCTCCAGGGGACTCATGTGGCCACCCTGTCACATTCTGTTTTACACTTTTTCATTTCATTGTGGCCTGTGATGGGTTACCGAATCACTGAAGTGGCCCTCACTCTTTAAAAGGTTGAGCACCCCAGATCTAACACTACCTTCTCCCCAGAATGAAAGTGCTGCTGTCCAAAGGTGTCTCTCCATTGCTCCTCCATCCAGAGTAGAGTCACCCTAAGACAGTAAGTGTGCTACTGGCCAGATCATCTGGTAAAAAGTAAATGGAAAAAAAAAAGAAAACTAGTACAGCCACCACATTTAGAAATTGGTAGGCTGCAACATGTTTTTGTTTAATTCTGCTTTAAATATCAGTATGTGCCTTCTACTATCAGGCTGGCAAAGGAAGTGGCAGCTATCTGGGCTGGTCAGGGCTCTAATGCTTTATAAGTGCTATCAGTCTAACTCAGTAAATATCTTTACAGGAGGAGATGACCTCCTCAAGCTGCCATGCAAGCATTTTTATTGTGTATGGTGTGTTCTGCTCTTTGCCTGGCATTCAGCTTTAACTTCTTGCTATATAGCACATCTTTAGCTACAACAGTCACATGAATGAGTGAAATGAAAAAAAGCCATGGACTGTAAAGCATGCTGTTATAAAATGAATGTTCTATATTATTATGTTTTAGGAAACTGAAGGACAAACATTGAATGCACTCTATACAGGTAGTAAGGCTGACAAAAGGACACAGAAATGCTTAGTGAAAAGAAATGGGCCATGGTTCTGGGGTCTCCTGATGGCTCACTCCGAGTCCTTCATCTGTAACAGTTTAATTTTCCAGGTCTTTGCAGAACATTCCCTTGCTTTTGGCAACAGCTATAGTTAGACTACATCTGAGCTGATATTTTTTTCAAATTAAATTAAGACGTCACAAGGATGAGTTTGGGCTTTTATTCATATAAAGTCTGTTTTGCATGTCCTAAGCTTCACATTCCGAGTGTCATGGTTTCAAATCATGCATTGCACGGAAGGTTCCCCTGCTCAAGTCATCACATGTCCAGGCCCATCTGAAATTTGCCAATGACCATCTGGATGATCCAGAGGAGGCATGGGAGAAAGTCATGTGGTCAGTAGAACTTTTTGGCCTAAACGTCACTCTTCGTGTTTGGAGGAAAAAGACGGATGAGTTGCATCCCAAGAACACCATCCCTACTGTGAAGCATGGGGGTGGTAACATCATGCTTTGGGGGTGCTTTTCTGCGAAGGGGACAGGACGACTGCACTGTATTAAGGAGAGGATGAATGGGGCCATTTATTGTGAGATTTTGAGCAACAACCTCCTTCCCTCAGTCAGAGCATTGAAGATGGGTCGTGGCTGGGTCTTCCAACATGACAACGACCATAACACACAGCCAGGATAACCAAGGAGTGGCTCCGTAAGAAGCATATCAAGGTTCTGGAGTGGCCTAGCCAGTCTCCAGACCTAAATCCAATAGAACATCTTTGGAGGGAACTGAAACTCCGTGTTGCTCAACGACAGCCCCGAAACCTGACAGATCTAGAGGAGATTGTGTGGAGGAGTGGGCCAAAATCCCTGTTGCAGTGTGTGCAAACCTGGTCAAGAACTACAGGAAACGTTTGACCTCTGTAATTGCAAACAAAGGCTTCTGTACCAAATATTAACACTCAGGTGTTCAAATACTTATGTTCAGCAGTGGAAGACAAATAAATTCTTTAAAAATCATACAATGTGATTTCCTGAATTTTTTTTTTTAATTCTGTCTCTCAGAGTGGGAATGCACCTACAATGTGAATTTCAGACCCCTCCATGATTTCTAAGTGGGAGAACTTGCATAATCGCAGGGTGTTCAAATACTTCTGTTCCTCACTGTAACTGCAAGGCTCTCTGGAGAACCAGGTTGCTGCAGGAAAAAAATCATTTCTTGGATAGAGGAATTTTGCATTCCATATTGGCTAGTGAATTCTTGCCTCAACAATAATAATTATAAATAGAAAAGCTACAATTTCTGGGGAAATTGTGTGAAGTGTTCTTGCCTCCACCAGTAGTCTACAGCTGGAGAGGGCGGAGTAACTGGGTGGAGTGGCTTGTCAGTCGGCTGCCTGCTCACACACCTGGGTTCCTATGGCAACTCACTCTACAGCAAGGGCAGAGAGGAACGGTTAAAAACAAACTGCTCCAACTTGCTCACTTCACTGGCAGTTGCCATCTTCAAACGGTTGTAGTTTAAAAATTATAAATCCTACACCAAAGGGCTTTATATTGTGAGAATCACAAGACCCAGACCTACATTTTGATGCATAGTATGTCTCTGAAATATTACAAATGAAGGCACAGTCGCAGTTTAGAAATTGCCCTTCAAATTTCAGGTGGCTAGAGTGGAGTTTCAATGAATGTCAATGGGCGGCGTGAGTTGCAAACAAATAATCATATTGTGAAAACTATCAGGACTATGGCTTAGCCGTGGACATTTTTAGTGGCAGCAGGGACAGCGGAACATTTTGATATAAGATTTGTGTAGGTGGGCTTGAAAATGAGGGAGTGATGGCAGTTTAGAAATCATGTCCTGATTTTTTCTGCTCCCACTCTAGCTTTTGTCAGCTCCCACTCTAGTTTTGAACATTCCACCATTCATTCCTATAGGACGAATTTCACCACAAAAACGCCGACATTTTGTGAACCATTCGGCGAAATGTTCCACAAAGTAATAGCACACCAATCAGGGACAATCCGCACGTTTCGGTATATTACTGTCTATGTAGTGTAAATACTGTGGGAGGAGTTAGGGTGGTAAATTTGGCTATAATAATAAGAATATATATGTGAGATAACAGTAAGTGGTCTTGCCATGCAAGAACACTTAATTATCACTCCCCGTCTGTGTGATATATGACAACAAAACGGGGGGGGGGCACAGACAGCAATAAAACTGACAAGTGTGTTCTAATCCCTCTCCACTCCATCCAAAACTAAATAAAAAAAAAAGTTTTGCCTTTTAGTTAAAGAATGAAAGAAAGATGTTGATGAAATGCTAAATATACCCCCTCACCAGTGACAATTCCCTTCAACCCTTTCACTACTTCCCTAACTCATGGCTAGATTCTCTCCTTCAATTTACAGAATAGGGAGAATAGAGGAGACCAGGATTTCACAGAGGAAGGAGACCAAGAGAAGACTTGGATTTCAGCAGTAAAGTCCTAAGGATGTCCCCAGCAATGGTGGGAATGTGGTTGTGTGGGGATTACAAATGGTATTTATTGATTGATTGGTTCCGCATAATATTGTACTGATCTCAACATGTTCTGATATATATTGTAAAACCACATTTACTCACCCTTCGCGGAATTGTATTTTGCCATGTGATACTCTGTATAGATGTTATTAGCTGCTGTTGAGCTCTGCAAGAAATTACAAAGTTGTCAGTGTTTTTAAAATTTAAGTGCAGTCCATAAAAATATTCTGTATGTAAAGCCATTTTTTTGTGTTTTGGATAGAATTTGGACAGGTTAGAAGCCTTGTGTTTTTTTTTTGTTGTTGCTTGTGTCTCTGCCAGAGAGATGCACCCTTTCTATTGTTTCTGTTTAAAGATGGTGATTGGAAATTTATCATTTTTGGGTTCTCAACTGAACAGTTATAGAGGAGAAAACTTCCAAATGATAAAAAAAAATGTTCTGGTGACAACTAAGAAATATCTCATCTTCCTTCCTATTGGACATAATAGAAGAAGGAAAGTAGCTGCACTCTGGAATAAATGGGAGCGAAAAGAGGTGCCACTGAGTGTAGACTGTAGGTCAATTTATTATAAAACAGACAAAAATTGTACTCGCATTTGGTGGAATAAAAGCAAGCACATCTAAAATCTGTGTATGGTATATAGAAAGTCAGCTGCCCACGCTGTGTGTTCAGCCATCACTCTGCTGGATCTGCAGCAGGCTGGATGGTGGAGAAGGACCAGAGTGAGGGCTGGAGCAAAGGTGGAACACTAGTGGAGCACAGCGCTGCGTTTGATGACATCACCGGACATGACAGCGACATGTTTCAGAGCATGTGCACGACGTAGAACATTGGCCACGCTTCTTTGTCAAGCTATTGGGACTAAAAAAAGGATGTGCATATATACACTATATTATCAAAAGTATTGGGACGCCCCTCCAAATCCTTTGGATTCAGATGTTCCAATCACCTCCATGGCCACAGGTGTATAAAATCAAGCACTTAAACATGCAGACTGCTTCTACAAACATTTGTGGGTCGCTCTCAGGAGCTTAGTGAATTCAAGCATGGTACCATGATAAGTTGCCACCTGTGCAATAAGTCCATCCATGAAAATTCCTTGCTACTATATATATTCTACGGTCAACTGTTAGTGGTATTATAACAAAGTAGAAGCAACTGGAAACAACAGCAACTCAGCCACGGAGTGGTAGGCTACGTAAAATGACAGAGCAGGGTCAGCACATGCGCAGTGCGCAAAAGTCGCCAACTATCTGTGGAGTCAGTAGCAAAAGACCTCAAAACTTTGTGTGGCCTTCAGATTAGCACAACAACAGTGCGTAGAGAGCTTTATGATGAAATGGGTTTCCATGGCTGAGCAGCTGCATCCCAGCCTTACATCACCAAGTGCAATGCAAATCACTGGATGCAGTGGCATAAAGCACGCTGCCACTAGACTCTAGAGCAGTGATGGCGAACCATTTTGAGCCCGAGTGCCCAAACTGCAACACAAAACCAATTTTTTATTTCAAAGTGCCAACACTGAATTAATCACTTGCCTACCGGGCACTTCTACCCCTTCCTGCCCAGGACAATTTTCAGCTTTCAGTGCTGTTGCACGTAACAAAGACAATTGTGCGGTCATGCAACACTGTAACCATATGCAATTTTATCATTTTTTCACACAAATAGAGCTTTTTTTGGTGGTATTTAATCACCACTGGGTGTTTTATTTTTTGCACTATAAATGAAAAAAGAGCAAAAAATTAAAAACATAAAAGGTTTCCTTTGCTTCTATTCTAAAATTTTGCAAACAGGTAATATTTCTTCTTTGATGTGCGTTGGTGAGGCTGCACTGATAGGCAGCACTGATGGGCATTGATGAGGCGGAACAGATAGGTAGCACTGATGGGGAAGAATGGTGAGCATTGATGAGGAGGCTCTGATGATGCACTGATATGCAGGCAAATGGATGGGCACTGATAAGCGGCACTGACAGCACCAACTGGAGGCACTGACAGACGGCACTGACCGGCGGCACTGCTGGGCATCATTCATGGGTGGCACTGATGGGCAGCACTAATGAGGTGTCACAGATAGGTGGCACTGATAGGCGACACTGATAATGGGTACTGATAGACAGCACTGATAGGTGGCACTGACTGACACACTGCTGGGCACTGACTGGCACAACCGCTGGGCACTGACTGGTGGCACTGACTGGCAGCACTGCTGGGCTGCACTGATGGGCACTGGTGGGTGGCACAGGTGGGCGGCACAGCTGGGCACAGGTGGGCGCACTGTTGGGCACAGGTGGGTGCATTGCTGGGCACAGGTGGGCGCACTGCTGGCATAGAAGTGGGCGCATTGCTGGGCACAGGTGGGTGCACTGCTGGGCACATTGGGTGCATTGCTGGCACAGGTGGGCGCACTGCTGGGCATAGGTGGGCGCATTGCTGGGCACAGGTGGGCGCACTGCTGGGCACAAGTGGGAGGAAATTGTGTGTGGCACAGGTGGAAACCGATCATCAGGGCACTGATGATCAGTGACCCTGATGATCGGTGCCGATCCCTGTTCTGACAACTGCCGGTTTTCGGCAGTACTTTCCTCACGATCTGACAGCGTGAGGAAAGTGCAGCCGAGAACCGGCATTTGCATTTCCCGTGATCAGCGTGTCATTGGACACGGCTGATCACGTGGTAAAAGGCCGCTGTGATTGGCCTTTTACCATGTCACGTGATCAGCTGTGTCCGCAGGACACAGCGATCACGGAGATCGCCCGGTGCGCACCCCCGGAGGTGCGCAGGAGAGCGCGTTCTCTTCCTCTTCCTCTCTTCCTCCTGGCGTGCCCACTGAGATGGCTCTGCGTGCCAGCTCTGGCACGCATGCCATAGGTTCGCCATCACTGCTCTAGAGCAGTGGAGACATGTTCTTTGGAGTGACGAATCACGCTTTTCTGTCTGGCAATCCGATGGATGTGTCTGGCATTGGTGGTTGCCAGGAGAACTGTACTTGCCTGACTACATTGTGCCAAGTGTAAAATTTGGTGGACGGGGATTATGGTGTGGTGTTGCTTTTCAGCTGTTGGGCTTGGCCCCTTAGTTCCAATGAAGGGAACTCTTAAGGTGTCAGCATACCAAGACATTTTGGACAATTTCATGCTTCCAACTTTGTGGGAACAGTTTGGGGATGGCCCCTTCCTGTTCCAACATGACTGTGCACCAGTGCACAAAGCAAGGTCCATAAAGACATGGATCAGAGAGTTTGGGGTGGAGGAACTTGACTGGCCTGCACAGAGTCCTGTCCTCAACCCGATAGAACACCTTTGGGATGAATTAGAGCAGAGACTGCAAGCCAGACCTTCTCATCCAATATCAGTGCCTGACCTCACAAATGCTCTTCTGGAAGAATGGTCAAACATTCCCATAGACATGCTCCTAAAGAGTTGAAGCTGTTATAGCTGCAAAGGGTGGGCCAACTCAATATTGAACCCTATGAATGAAGACTGGGATGCTATTAAAGTTCATGTGCATGTAAAGACAGGCGTCCCAATACTATTGGCAATATAGTGTGTGTATGTATATATATGTATATTGGATATAAAAAAGTCATTTCTGTGATGTCAACAAAATGAGACAAAAATTAATCATTTCGGAAATTTTTCCACCTTTAATGTGACCTATAAACTGTACAACCTCAGTTGAAAAACAAACTGAAATCTTTTAGGTGGAGGCACAAAAACATCACTGCTCATCACCAAAAGAGCACCATACCCACAGTGAAGCATGGTGGTGGCAGCATCATGCTTTGGGGCTGTTTTTCTTCAGCTGGAACTGGGGAGCGTAGTCAAGGTAGAGTGAATTATGAACAGTTCCAAATACCAGTCAATATTGGCACAAAACCTTCAGGTTTCAGCTAGAAAGCTGAACATGATGAGGAACTTTCACATAACAACGACCCAAAGCATACATCCAAATCAAAAAAGGAATGGTTTCACCAGAAGAAGATTAAAGTTTTGGAATGGCCCAGCCAGAGCCCAGACCTGAATCCGTCAAACATCTGTGAGGTGATCTGAAGAGGGCTGTGCACAGGAGATGCCCTCGCAATCTGACCGATTTGGAGTGTTTTTGCAAGAAGTGTGGGCAAATATTGCTAAGTCAAGATGTGCCATGCTGATATAATCATACCCAAAAAGAATGAATGCTGTAATAAAATCAAAAGGTGTCTCAACAAAGTACTATTTTTAAGGGTGTGCACACTTATGCAACCATATTATTTTTAGTTTTTTTTATTGTTACTTCCCTCCACCCAAAATATTTTGGCTTGTTGTTCAAACAAGTTGTACAGTTTATAGGTTACATTAAATGTGGAAAAAGTTCTGAAATGATTTATCTTTGTCTCATTTTTTTTTACATCACAGAAACCTGACATTTTAGCAGGGGTGTGTAGACATATATATATATATATATATATATATATATATATATATATATATATATATATATAGAGAGAGAGAGAGAGAGAGAGAGAGAGAGAGAGAGAGAGGTGATTAGTGCTACCTTATGGTGAATTACAATGGCATATCCATTAATACTGGGCTTAATAGTTCTGCATAATGGTATACAAGGAGCAGCTGGCAATTAACAGCTGGATTACAAAATTACATGGCATGCATATAATAAGTTTAACAGTTCCACAAAATGATATGAATGCATAAAAAAAGTAAAAAAGCCAAGATTATACGTCTCAGTATTTAGGATAGAAAAATAATCAAACTAAAGCCATAATTAATTTAAAAAAAAAAAAAAGGAATTTGGCTCAAACCACAAGCGCTTTGGTGGAATAAGTGTATACCAACTAAATGTATATACCACATGGGCTGCATATAAATATTTGCAGCCAATGTAGCCCATGTGGTATTCACATTTAGTTGATAAAGTCGTGTGGCATTTGACGCAATGCATCGGAACAGAAGTGGGTGACATATTCTGTCTAGATATTAGATATTATTACAGAAAAATTAAGAAAACAATATGCAGCGCTAATTCACATCACATGTATATAAAACATATAATAAAATTAAGAAATCATATAAATCCTCAAAATAAGTCCATGGTGTTTGACTAAAAATTATATAAAACCCATATCCGTGGGAAGAAATTGTACCACAAAGGAGAAGAAAAGATCCTCCACCGCCAACACTCACAGCCTCTTACCAGAAAACATGACCACGGGGCATGCGGTCAAAACAGCATAAATAGGGAATCTGTGAAGGCAAGTAGTACAGAAAAGATCTTCTCCACCAGAGTTTTTCCACCGCTACTCATGAGTAGATGCCAGGATTTTTGGCATCTGTATCGCAGGCTGCTAGCATGTCGGTCCGTATATTAGCCAACCAGAGGGGTACACAGATTCCCTATATATATGCTGCTTTGACTGTATGCCCTGTGGTCATGTTTTCTGGCAAGAGGTTGTGAGTGTTGGTGGTGGAGGATCTTTCCTTCTCTGTGGCAAAGTTTCTTCCCCGGGACATGGGTTTTATATAATTTTCAGTCACACACCATGGACTTATTTTGAGGACTTTAAAATAAGGCCATATTTTTATTATATGTTTTATGTACATGTGGGGTGAATTAGCGCTGCATATTGTTTTCTTAATTTCATTGTATGTTGCCTGCATTCTTTGACAGCTGCTGTTTCACGATATGTTTCGCATTTAGTGCAGGTTATCATTATTATTAGATTACAGACCACGTGTGCGAGGAGAAGAGGCACTGTGGTCTTTGATAGAGACTTTTTCTTATACAGTTATGGCCACTTTATATGCTGATTGAATATTTATGATGCACTTTTATTTATTTATTTCCTCATTGGCTTTATATCTGTGGTATATTTTACACTTCTTAGTGTTGGCACCCCTGTAGGGTGTTTACTCTCACTTTGTTTTGTTTTTTTGCTGATCCCTGGTAGGTTCATATCTTTGGCAGGTGTCTAACATAAGGTTTTATACTTAGCACATTACACTTTGACTATATATTAAATTCTGTAAACCTTGTGAGCTGCTATGAACTGCTATGAGCAATTATAGTGTACACGTGAATCTCTCACGCTATTCACACTCCCAGATAATGTGTGTTGATCAAACCAAATGATTCCTAAGTAAGTGTCGTGCTTCACAACAAACAATTAAACATAAAAATTATTTCCATATAAGTGCAAAGTTACATAAAATAAACATATATAAACTCTCATAGTATACTTGACATCCAACAATACAATCCCAATTATATGTGTTTTAGTCCCAACATCAGCTGTACATTCCTATTGACAGTAGCTTCCATACATTGCTTCCAATCTCTTCATCACCACTGTGCCAGGCAATATATATATATATATATATACAGTGAGAGCCCTCCACCAGATGTACCTGCACCTGGATTATATGACCAAACTGTTATGTGAGGTCATATGGCGCTTGTGTCCCTTTATTTAAGACTCCTATATGTGTTCCCAGCCGAGTCAGATGACTTCTTACTCCTCTGCAACCATTAGTGCAGGAAACAAAGGCATACCATAGCGAACAGTCCTCCTACCTTCCCTCACTGCCAATGCTTGACTGAGAGTTCTTCTGGCCGGCATTGGCAGTAAGGGAAGGCAGGAGGACTATTCACTATTGCTATTGGGACTAAAAATACATATTATTGAGATTGGATTGTTGGATGTCAATTGCATTATGACACTTTGACTATATATACTGCATACAATTTTTTTTTCTTTTATATTTTACACTCCTGGTATGTGTTCATTTCTTCACTTATGTGATATTAGTTAATTGCATATAGTCATCACCGTGTATATTGGTTGTGAGTTATGTTTTTGATCTTCATGCATTTATTTGAGTTATTATTTTTTGGGGGTTATCACTTCTGTTGTATGTTTGAGTTAGTGAGTAGCGCAGCACACATACTTTTTTTGTCTTGAGATGTTAACTGCTTTTGCCATCTTGGGAACCCATGGTTGGATGGAATTGTTGACTATTATCCCCACTGGCTTTCACATATATTGTTACATCTTAAAGGGACTTTTCACCTTGCACTGATACCATCTCTATGTATGCATTCTGAAATAAGCAACTAAGTTCACTGCAAGTGAAACATGTTAGAGTGCAGAGTTCAGGTGGTCTGTCTTGTTCAATATAACTTCTATGGTGGTTGTTATTCTGGAGCAGGGTCACTTTCCTTCTTTCTATTTTTGCATCTGAGAGATGGGATCGTTCTAGGGAGTGTGGAGCACTGTATTTTTTATTTTCATACTTCATACTGTCTCTCTGGGACAGCAAGGGAAGGGAGATCCCCCTGACAAGATAGAGAACCAAAAAATTGACAGGGGAGAACCTTTTTCTACTCTATTCAAAATTAGAAAAAATAAAATTTTGGCTTTACTTGCACAATAACATTTTCTGATACAGTCATTAAAGACATAAAATGCACCTCTATGTGCAGCAAGGATAATTTTATTGAGAGATAAAATGGTTAAAATATTTTTTTATTATTTTCCTCTCAGTATAATTAGCTTTTCTGCACTTGAAGGAGTTTTCTTGTATCTTTGCTTTTAACTTCACTTTTTACTCAAGGGTTGCAAGAAATAAAATATCTTGA